TTCTATATCTTTTATATATAATATTAAAATTTAATACTATCATAATTTTCAAAATAATTTTTTCTAACATTTACTAATTTATTCTTTAAAAAATTCAATAATTTCAATTTAATAATTAAGTATTAGATAGAACCTTTAGGTTTATTATTATTATTATTATTATTAACTAAAATGCTATAAAATAAATTTTATAATTATCTTAAATACTCACCTTTACCGTCTTTCGTTCCACCCTACGCACGCAAGCATCGCCTCTTCTCCCTCGTCACCTGGTTACTATCCCTCGACCACCTCCTTCTTCTTCGGTTTGATTAAAATCTCCCTCTTGTACTCTCTTTCTGTCGTTCAACATCCTCTCACATTCGTTTGCCTTCAATGGAGTGAATGAATCATAACTATCGCTCACAAGGAGTCGCTACTTTTCTCTCCCATAGACGTTTCCTCACTCGATTTCGCGGTCCAACGTGCTTGATGCTTCTGTGCTCACGTGCAGCCTGCTCGGCTACATTCGTTGTGCTCGCCCGGTTCTATCCGTTCGTTTGTTAGAGTATTAGGGCCGGTTCAATTGAACCGGCCAAACTGGTTCTAACAACCTCAGATAATATTTTCTACATCCATTAGCAAAATATCACAACAAATCTTAACAGTATGATAGAAATTTAAGTCTTATCTTCCAATAGTTCAATACTTCTTTATATGATCGTGGATTGTATTCATATTTTTATTTCATGCAGTAAATAGATGAAGCAACCAAAACCTTCATACAACTTATCTTGTCTATGATAAGTTTACATAATTTATCATTATGATAAGTTTGAAATATAGAAGTATTTTTTTAATTAGATTCATTTTTAGATCTGGCAATAATAATAAATCTCATAAAATTTAAATAAACTATTTCTTATATGTCTTTAGGTGTAGAATGCTTACATAGTTACATTCAATGCTTCACTGTGTGACATATGTTTGATTATTTGAATTTTTCATCAATAATTGCTAAAACATGGTTATGTCTTCTAATATTACTCTTTTTGTTGGGTCCATATTATGTAAATTTTGTTTAATTGCTTAACATGTCAATCTAGGCATCTTTCATCCTTCTCTTCTTCATTAGCCAATTAACTTTGTGATAACCTTGATAATAGAAGGCAAACAACGGTCACTATTGCTCCCTTCACTTCTTTATTCTCCATTTATTTCTTCTGGATGTCAATTGTATAATATGCCATTATGTCAAATAATTGAAGAGTGTGGAGATGCAGTGATTTCGCATTAAAGATATTAATTAAATAGTGAAGTTAGTTGAGTTCTGATTGCATTCTATGAGTGCAGTGATATTTGGGTAAAATTCCGAACAGATGCTATTATATTGCAAATAGCAATAATAAAGATTTTTCCCTGTATGGTTTTTCAAACATATGCAGCTGAGGTATGTTGAGGGATGTAACATGAATTTCTCTTTAAGAAAACCATAAGATAAGGAATATTTGCTTACATCTTTTTTTCTTGAACTCTTTTCTTCATGGTCTCTGTCTATGGTTTCTAAATGTTATTTCCTGATTTGAGCTTCCTGATAGGAAGATAAATGTTTTAAATTCGCCATAAAAGTGACATAAAGACCCATAAATTTGAAGTTTTTTTTGTTGCTTTTGTAGTCATGCATGTCACGAGCCTTCAGGATATCTTTTGCGGTAATTTGAGTATTGAAAGTTCCGAGCTGAGCTAACGTATATAGATGGATAGGAAATATATTTCTCATGAATAAGCATGCTTTTTTAATTCAATAGAAATGAAACACTAGTTTTTTTTTCCATATCAAGATTTCATATCATTAATTAAATGTTGGAATATTTCTGCAGTGATAATTTGATATCTTTTGTTATAAAAAACAGCACAGCATGTCATAGATTTGAAAATGTGTCATAGGTAGCTACAGTTCTCATGCGTTTTAGCATAGGTTGCATGGATAGGAGCTCTTTTTCAATCAAAGCAAAGCTAGAGGACATTCATTTTCACGCAGAATTCTTCTTACGAAGTATCTTTTCTGAATAGATATCTAATCATAAAGATTATTCTATCTAGTTTCATGTTGAGGTTCATAAAGGTCATTCTGTATCAAGTTTCTAGGTTCACAAAATTCGTGATTTTTCCTGGGATGGTATACCCTCCCGAGGTGCATCTTGGCTGAGAGAGGAGCCTGTCGAGGCAGTTTGGCTGAGAGTTATACTTGTTCCTGCATGTGGGGGTGTTATTGTTGGCATGTTGAACAGCTTGCGTGCTTATCTGGAAGATCCATCTGAGGGAAATGGGACTTCTGATGTAAGGGGTGCTCTTGGCTCATTTGTCAAGGCAATAGCTGCTTCTGTCACCCTTGGGACTGGAAATTCATTGGGACCTGAGGGTCCCAGTGTTGAGATTGGCTCATCTATAGCAAAGGGTGTTAGCAATATATTCAAATGGAACGGCGGAAAAAGTTTGTCAATTGTTGCTGCTGGATCTGCGGCTGGAATCTCATCAGGTCGTATGATTATACTAGTTTTTGTTAAGTGTTTCATTTATTGGTGAATTGATCTTGAATGTTGCTGCAATTTTTATAAAATCTGATGACTATTTCTTCATTCTCTATGGAAGATGGATGCATGAGACTTATAATTTAAGGGTTTACTTAGATCACTAATTGCAGAAAGATTTATGCTAACCATGCCTAGTCTTATTATGCTGCCCTAGCCATACATCCGTCCTAAAGTGTAAGGATGGAAAATCTAGATCATATTTTGAGGAATTGGTCACTTAAGATATGGAGATAATATTTTAGTTGTTTCAATAATTGATTCATTCTTTGAGAAGTTTGCTATCTTATAATCAGACCACATTACTGTGAATATCATGTTGTCTGTCTTATAGGGTTTAATGCTGCTGTTTCTGGATGCTTTTTTGCTGTGGAGTCGGTCCTTTGGCCATCTCCTTCAGTTTCATTCTCGTCCTTGACAAATTCAACTTCAATGGTCATACTCAGTTCTGTTATAGCATCCATTATTTCAGAAGTAGGTCTTGGTTCAGATCCAACTTTCACAGTCCCAGATTATGATTTCCGTTCTCCAAGTGGTACATTCCTTTATTTTTTTTTTATATTCCTTCCTTTTAATTATACAATTGATATGCTAAAGAAAATTGTGGCTTTATCTTGAATTAGAAATCAATTTCCTGATTAAAGTGGCATATATGGTATTCTTTCACAGGCTAACAAAAATTATATTTCAGATATGTAATTAGATTCGAGACTAATCATATAGTTTCATGAATATTGCTTATTCTTGGAACTGTTCTAATTTGTACGGAATAACTCTATCAACGTTCAGTTGATATATCTATTCATTAGCTTCAAGTTACTCAATCGCTTTTGGAAGCAATTCTGCTATCATCATTAAGTAGGATTATATTATCATTAATTTAGAGATGTTCACTTTTATTTTTGAGGCAATTGTTTTTATGCGCTACCGAGATAGACACATTCTGCGGTTATTTATGAGATTCAAAATATATTTTCAGAACTTCCTTTGTATCTTTTGCTCGGTATCCTGTGTGGGTTGGTGTCATTGGCCCTCTCCAGGTGCACGTCATTTGCTCTGAAGGTTGCTGACAATCTTCAGAATGCTATAGGATTACAGAAGGCTCTGTTTCCTGCATTGGGTGGCCTAACTGTTGGCTTGATTGCCTTAGCATACCCTGAAGTCCTTTACTGGGGATTTCAGAATGTTGACATTTTACTGGAATCACGACCTTATGTAAATGGTCTCCCTGCTGGTGTTTTGTTTCAATTGGTTGGTGTAAAAATAGTAGCAACATCTATAAGCCGTGCTTCAGGACTGGTGGGCGGATATTATGCACCATCTCTTTTTATTGGAGCAGCAACAGGCATGGCATACGGGAAGTTTGTGGGCTCTACATTTTCTGGACCCAATGCATTATTTCACCTTCCTATCTTAGATGTCGCATCTCCTCAGGCATATGGTCTGGTAAATTGTCCACATTTAAATCTTATTTACTTTAATTGAACACTACCACACGGAATTCTTTAGCATATGGTGATTTATTGGTTTTCCATTTGTCAATTAGACCATATCATACAAATTAAATTGGAAAGTAAAGCAGAGTTTTCCTCATTGTCAATTGGACTTGATATTTAATGAATTAACTAGTTGACCCTTACATCCTGTAGCCAACACCATTTATTATTTAGAGGTTGTTTGTATCGAGGTATTATGAGTGTAAAGTTAAAAGCATATATGGGTTTTGAGTTTTTAGGCGTTTGATATGAAGTAAACCAAATGCAAAATATTTTTATAAAGAATTTAGAATGCCTTCGATCTCCAGGCTCATTTTTTATGAATTTAGAATTCCAACTGCACTATTTATGACTTCATTCTTTACGAAGCTATCCCTAAATTCACTGATCCCACCGACCATGTGACACAGTCCCCAACATCCTGGGGTCCACCATCACCACTATACCAACATCCATTGTTGTTGTTGTTGTGCCTGCATCCGCCATTGTTTCCATCCTCACATCCACTGTTTCAGGAGCAAACCCATTATCCTAAAATAACCCGACATCACTGTGTCATCACCAACCCCACCGATTGTCCCAAAGTTCGGGTTTTAATACAAAATTTTTTATTCATTTTATAGCCAACTAAATACCAATAATTGGTTTCTTGAATTTATTTTACAACCAATGAAATAATCTTGATTATTTCAAATGCAACTTATTTAATTTGCATTGTATTTAGAATACATATGTATCTGGATACTTACAAACAAATGGCCTCTTAATACATTTCTTTTACGTCAGGTTGGAATGGCAGCTACCCTTGCAGGTGTTTGCCAGGTGCCGTTAACATCAGTTCTTCTTTTGTTTGAGCTCACCCAGGACTATCGGATAGTTCTGCCACTGCTTGGAGCTGTGGGTTTATCATCTTGGATTTCCTCTAATCAAAATGGAAAAAGGATTCATGAAGATGAATTAGATCAGGTGGAAAGCAGTCGTTATGGACTTGAAGGCTCGCTAAACAATGACAAGGAATTTGATTATTCTCAAGTTACTACTGAATTGCCACGAAGTGGTGATTTATGTGAGCTTGAGAGCTCACTCTGTGTATATGATCGCGGTACTCTTATGAGTGACTTTGCCATGAGGCTTACTGTTGCACAGGCTATGAGAACTAGATACATAACCGTCCAGATGAGCACCACAATAACTGAGGCCATCGAACTGATGTTCACAGAGAAGCAGCTGTGTGCACCAGTAACAGATAACAGCAATCTTCTTCTTGGACAGTTGTCACTTGAAGATATTCAAGAATATAGCAGACTCGCACAAGCTTATGGAAAAACTGAAGTAAGTGGCTTGCCCAATTCTACTTCTTGTGGATTATGTTGAGGTTTCTCTTTAGGTAAGCATTGTTATGCAACATGCAGGAAAACATTAGATCTATTGACCATTTAGCAATATATGAGTTTGACTAATCAAAATCAAAATGCTAATATATCACTGGCCTGCACTCTGCAGAATTTAAAGGACATCTTTTAAATTTTCCTGCATGCAGGCATGCCTGCTGGATTTCATTCTATACTGTACATCTCTTGAGAGAGTGGGGGTAACTCTCCAAATCATTAGCGTGGCTTTAGTTTTTTGAAAAAATGAATATCCTATGTAATGTTATTTTAGAATGCTGGTGTTAGACAATTTTATGTTTTTTTTCTTAAGCAGTGAAGTTTTGAGTATTCAATAGCTATACTGTTAGTCATACAAAGAAAGAGTTTGCAATGCCTGCACATGATGCATTTGTAATATCATGATATATTACTAGTTTATGTGATGAGGTCGCCATTGCTTGTGCATTTTGCTCAAAAATGGAGGTTGTTATGGTCAAACATCAGAATGAGTTATCACCTAACATGTGAGGGTGCATTGTCATTACATCTCTATATTTAGGTCTTATTCATAATCCGGCCCTCTATTCCCTTATTTAAATTTGTTTTGCACTCAGAGTCCTTTCAAACGTTTCAAATAGGTGCAATTGTTGAGCATATAACTTTTTTTTTTTGTCAGAAACCACCACCCTTCCTCCTGTCTTGCTACTTCATATGCGAAATGTAGGTGGTGTAGGAGCCGATTAAAACTATGATAGGAAACACTTGTAGATCTCAAGTATTTTTTATCAATCTTTAGAAAACAGCGAGAATCCTTCACAAAAGTCCGCACAAACCACAGAAACAATAGATAATTTGTATTATTTGATGAAAGGAAAATGGAAAATAGCAAGATACATTTGATCCTCTATTCGAGATTAGGATCGATCTCTCCCAATCTCTAGACGCCGCTAGAGTCCAAAGAAAACTTAAATCTAAGAGATCTCAAATTTCAGCCAAATTCAAGATACCCAAACCCTAGGAAAACAAACTATTTAATGCATACAAATCAAAAGGAAATCCTACAATCCCTACATTACATTTCCCTCCAAGAATTCATTCAAAAATCTTCCTAAATGAGCTCTCAGGGATTCGCGTGCGTGCAGCTGACGGAAGAGGCGGAGATATTCTGCCCGTTCTCCGCCTGGGATGGTCCCGCGTGGACCGGCTGGACCGGTCTAACAATACTCCCCTCCCAAAGATCCACCTTGTCCCGCGGAGGTGGCCATCCTTGAGGTTACTGAAAAATCTTATTGTATTGCTTAACCAAGGACTGCACGGAAAGAGAAACATCTCCTCCCTCCTCCAATCTGATTGCATCCAACCTGTGTAATCCCACCAGATAAACTTCTCCCACCTCTTGTATGTCCCTAACCAGGTCTTAAGTGATGTCATGGCTTTGGATAGCCCTGCATCTCCCCTTATAACTACCTTTCTCCCATCCACCATTAATTCAATCTTGAGTGCTCCCTAATTGTCCTTGGTTTCCCCCAAGGTTTGCAACCACTTCATCCCCAGGATGACATCAGTGCTTCCTAACTCTAGTGGGAGAAAGTCCTCCCTTGCTTGAATCTCCTGGATGGTCAACACAACTCCTTTACAGATTCCCTGGCCTTTCTCCATCTTCCCTGTACCCATCATCACTCCATAACAATCGGTGTCCACCAATTTCACTCCAAGTTGGTCGACGACCTGAGTGGAAATGAAATTATGGGTAGCCCCACTATCAATTAGCACCACCGCCTCCATGCCCTTTATCTCCCCCTTCACCTTCATGGTATGATTCGTAGTGAATCCTACCACTGAGTTCAGAGAAACCTCAGCCAGATCCAAGTGTAGCTTCTCCTCCATCTCCTCCTCGATCTCCTCCTCACCTTCCTCCTCAGTTTCCTCATCATCGCAGACGGTGAGAACCAGAAGAGTTCGGTCCTTGCACCGATGCCCTGGCGTATACTTCTCCTCGCACCTGAAACACAACCCCTTAATGTCTCTGCCTTCAACCCCTTCTTGAAGTTTCCCTCCAATATGATATATGATAATCGCTCCACCCTACTAGCCATGTGCTCGAACCGCTCACTGTAGTCTGCTACTGATCCCTCCTGCACCAGAGCAAAGAACTGCTCATAGAAATCTCCTTCCGGTTAGTTTGGAAACGTTCTATTATGCAGTCTTTGAATTCCCTCCAGTTCCTGATATGCCTCCTCCGGTCTCTCCATTGAAACCATGACAGGGCTTTTCCTTTAAAGCACAAGCCCGCTGCTGTCAGCTTCTCCTCCTCCGTTAGCCCATTGACAGCGAAGTATCGCTCAACCTTGTAAATTCATCCATACGCATCTTCTCCTTTGAATATGGGCATCTTCAACTTCATCACCTTCTGGTCGCCACCATTTCCCATGATTCTCCCATAATTTCCCCTCTCCCAAGTGCTAGGTCCACCCCATGTTTCCTGATCTTCCCTTGCTCTGCCATAGCCCAATCCCCCTTCGATATCCCTTCTTCTCCCTTCAAAATCAGCACCCCGACGGCCGTAAAACCCCTCATGTCGTTCCCAATCAGCCCCTCTTTGCTTCGCTCCCCCATAGCCATACCTTTCCCTATGTCGATCTCCTCTTTCCTACCTATGGAAAGGCTCCACATAGGGTCTTCTTCTTCCCCCTTCCACGATTTCCACCTCTTCTTCCTCACGGATTTCAGAATTGGTGTTCTTCGCTTCTGGGCCCTTCGCTTCGAATGCTGCCGTTTGTGCTTGAAGCTCCAGCATCAATCACGGTTTTTTTGATGTGATTCATCTCTCCTTCGAGTCTCTCCTCCAAAGCATCAACTTTCTTGACTGCCATTACAATCCGGAGTTTGTCGATTCACAAAATCTGGATTTTGGAGTAAAAAAAACAGCAACTTCCTCCTTTTCCGGGCAAAAAACTGCTGCTGGAATTTGCCGAAAACAGCCCTCCACTGGCCCCAAGACTTGCTCTGATACCAATTTGATAGGAAACACTTGTAGATCTCAAGTATTTTTTATCAATCTTCAGAAAACAACGAGAATCCTTCACAAAAGTCCACACAAACCACGAAAACAATAGATAATTTGTATTATTTGATAAAAGGAAAACATAAAATAGCAAGATACAATTGATCCTCTATTCGAGAGGAGGATCGATCTCTCCCAAATCTCTAGACACCGCTACAGCCGAAAGAAAACTTAAATCTAAGAGATCTCAAATTTCAGCCAAATTCAAGATACCCAAACCCTAGGAAAACAAACTATTTAATTCATACAAATCAAAATGAAATCCCTAAACAATCCCTACATTCCATTTCCCTCCTAGAATCCATTCAAAAACTTTCCTAAATGAGCTCTCAGGGATTCGCGTGCGTGCGGCTGACGAAAGAGGCGGAGATGTTCCGCCCGTTCTCCATCTGGGCCGGTCCCGCGTGGACCGGCTGGACCGATCCAATGGACCGGTCTAACAAACTATTGTTGTAGTGGTGATGGAATTGTTATTAAAAGAGCGCTTTAGTAATAAAGTACTGTGCTGAACTTGCACATCGATTGTTTGTGAAGCGCATGATTACAACAAAATGTGTGCATCACGTTGCTTTGCAGTATCGTGTTGTAGTACTATGAACTTGGCTCCATATCATAAGAAAACCTAGTTCAAAATTTTTGGTTCAGTTTAGCACTGTCGCGGTAAGTAGGCACGGTTGTTAGCTTCTTCTCAATGTTTCTCATTACATTGATTCGTTACTCATTGATTCTCCATTCTCTTCTGATGGACTTATACTTTTCTTTGCTGCTCTTCTCATCACTCTCTCTTGCTCATTAGTTTACTCATTCAGCTCTCATTCTTTCTTGTTGTTGATACTGACAACTTCTCACTCACATGCTTTATCTCAAGAACGCTTCATATTCACACCCTCACTTCCACCGCTCCTTTTTGTTTCTAGCTTGCCGCTCATCTTATGACTATTCTTGATATTTAATATTTCTTTTATAACTTTATTATTTGTTATCTTTGTTAAATCATTCAAATAGTTGAAAAATTATTAATATTTAATAAATAATTGTGGGCTCCAAAAATTCCAGCTTCCTCGGCCTCTCCGCACCGGTCTCTTTTCTTGTTTGTCATGACAACGGAGAGTTCTAACGAGCTTAGGTTCTGGATTAATTTCAGAATGCATATTGGGTTTTAGATAAGAGACTACCCAGAGATTTCGCCCTCATTTTACAAGGACTTTATAATATGTGTTTTGGTTTCCTATAGGTGCAAGCCCCTATAGTTAATTACCCTTCTCAATAACAAGAGGGGTATACTTACATTCCAACTTGGGGGAGCGAATCGACCACATAAATGTCTTCAAGCGATTTAATTTTATTTAATAAGCATTTTATTTCTCTTGAAAATCCGGCAGCCTTCTGGCGTCCCCTCTCTGCTAGGGGAGGTTGGGGAGGGCTTGCCATTTTAGAGAATTTTGAGCCAATAATTCAATTTGTCATTGCTTTGAACTATGCTTCTGCACTATGTCTTGCTATTATATTTTATTTTTGGCTTCTCCAAGAAAAATGTAGTATCAATAGGTGGATCTCATGTTTGCAAGTGAACTTGCATTGTCTCTGATAGGAAACACTTGTAGATCTCAAGTATTTCTGATGTGAAACTAGAACTACTTCACTCAATTCTTGAAGGTGGAGGCTAGCGGAGGAAGATTGCAAGCACACTTAGAGATGCCACTATCACACAAGTGATGTCGAGAGGAATAGTCGCCGGGGAAGAAGCAGGAGTTGGGGTAGCGTGTGGGCGCTCGAGAAGAGTCCACGGAGTCCTTGGTCGTTGAAGCTCAATGGTTCCGACAAGACAGTAAACGATACGATTGACGTAACGTTCTACGGTAACGTCGCACTCCCAATCCGGCTCATAGAAAGGGGAA